TCTCTCTCTCTCTCTCTCTCTCTTTCTCTCTCTCTCTCTCTCTCTTTCGTCAATACGTTAGCCAAACATCGATTCATTCAAAAACTATAACAAGAATTCAAATGAAATGAACGCTAAGTTTCATTGAAATCTCATTAAAATACAAAGCATTCAGACGTTTGACTGAATGGTGACGACATGTGATGGCAATAAACAATAAACTATTTCTTCATATTATATAACATGGTATTCAAAGTGAAATGCGTGAACAAAAACGTGTCAATTGCGTGACCAAATGGTAGAGAGAGAGAGAGAGAGAGAGAGAATGTCTGGAGAAAATGGATGAGACAAAGCTATGGGACAATTAATTTGTTATTAATACTAGATATTAAAATACTATTACTGAATGTAATTTAAATTGATATTAAATTTAATATCATCGCTGATATCATAATTAATTCCGATAAAAAATTATCGTAAAATGTACACTATTTTTACCATAAAGTGTTATTTGAATGCCAACTATTGGTTCGCAAATCCATTATTGAAATTAATTTCTCTCATTTGATGATCGCTTTGATTCAAAACCGATAATTATAATTATGAAATAAATTTTCACAAAAAACAATAAATATGCCTAAATTGCTAGTTATTGGTAATGCAATTATTGGTATAACTTTAATATTTTTATAACCTTCATTATGCACCAAATTACCAAGTTAATGCCTGTACACATTTCGTATAGTATATTATTATTAGGGCTAATATATTTTTTGGCATCTAAATTATTAATGTTATTTTGATTCATTACTTTCAAGATCAATCTAATTGTACACTTTATTCAATAATATCTATATATAGTGTACAGATATTGAAAATATAATTAGTGGCCAAACGTAACATGAATTTTAACTCATCTATTGGTTTAGTAATTACCTGTAATTTATTTAACTATTTAAAAATATAATTATATTTTTGTTATTTTTATACTAAAATAAATTAATGGAAATTCTATGAAATGATTATTAAAAACTAAATTGAATATAAATTCCAATACATTATCTTAAAGAATATTCTATCAATTATTCTTAAATTAATGCAAAATATTTATATAATTATTGACTTAAGTATCAAATTATTACATTTATTATTTATAATTTTAAATATATTACCGGTAATATTTTTATTATTATTTTAAACATAGATTTAATAATTAATTATCTAGATATTTAATCAGATACCATGATTAATATTAATCTAGTTCTGATAATTATATGCAAAATATTATTTTATAACAAAATAATTTATCGTATATTTAGTAATGAAATATTAATTTTTCATAACTCGTTACAAATGAGTTATTTGTTTTAATAACAATATTAATAATAAAATTGGATATTTTTCCATATATTGTTATTAAAAGCTAAATCAAAGTTAGTCTTTATTATTTAAATGCGAATATAAAATACTTGATAATGATTTCTATGGCCTAAGTATTGTTGTATAACTTGTATTATTTAAATAAATAACATTTTACATAATCTATTAAATACTATTAAATAATTCATACACTTGTTATATAGTATTATTATGTGCACTGAAATTGTAATAAAATACCCATAAAATAGCACATATTATTCGGTAAATAAGTTAAATATAAACAAATAGTTATTACAGAAACAAATCTGTCGTAAATTTAATTGTTTTTAATTATTTTTAAAAGTAATTTCATGTCATAATAATGCACACAAAATGTTATGTGAACTAAAGTTATGCCATTTTATATAATATAATTGTTAAAAATTTATATTGGTAATATTTAAAGATCTGTTTTATGATTATAACTTATAATTTATTTATATGACGATTATTATTAAAATTATTTTTATAAAACTGTTATAGATTTTTAGTTTAATAAAACAATTATAAACAAAATATAAGTTAAATAAATAAATAATAAAACATGATAATTAATTGATTCATACCTGAGCTGACTCTATACTGGAGAGCATCGTCCATATCATCGAGATATCTGGACAGCGAGTCTTGTAGTCTATTGTCGGGAACTCTATTCTTATGGCAACTATTCTTCGATGTCTGAAGTAATTCCTTCTCGATGTGAGCGAAAGGGGAAGTGATGTCATAGGACTGCAACACTGTTAGGTCATTGCCCGCCGAATTGGCCGCCAGTATTGTCGACAACAGCGGATCCGTTTGCGACTCAAAGTCCTGAAGAATATTACTCGTGTCGTGAAGAATATGTTTCTTATAGGGAATCAGGTTTAGGCTATTGATATTGTCGGTGGGGGTGATGACAGTGCGCTCACCACCGCTGCCGCCACTGCCGGGAGTGGTCACCGCCGGTGCGGCGCCTGTTGTCCACAGCCTATAGTGACTCTCGATGTCGACAGTGGAGACAGCGTTACGGAGTTTGGCCGACGATTTGCGGGACACCGACGACCCCACAGCCGACGAGTCGCCGGTTGCGAACAATTTTGGCACTAATTTATTTCTGGTCGCAGCCGTGGCAAAGGTCACCAAAGTCTGGGTGGCGCTGGCGTACCGGTGCGGTCGCACCTGTACTCCCACGTCGATCGTCACGTACGGCGACCGCCGTTGAGTGGCCGCCGCTGTCCGCGAATTGGCGTTTGTTTTCCTATTGTTGTTGTTATTAAGCAACGAGTCTTCGGTTTGTAGTAAAACACTTTTGTTCACGTCGTCCGCACCGTTAGTGGCCGTCGAGTCAGAAGTTCCGGCACCGGTTCCGCCGCCCGAATCGCCGCCGACATCCGTGTCGTCGCCAATAGTGCACAACTCAGACATATCCGTCAGCATTAGGTCCAACTCGTCTTCGGTGGCGAACTGTATGTCCGTTTGGGTCGACTGACACCGAACCCAATCCGAACCAACGGTGCAATCGGTCTGAACGGCCGCTGAGACACCGATCGGCGGTCGAGTGACGGCTTGTACTTTGTTTGTGGCAAATAATGTGAACTTAAAGCCAGTTTTTGGTGGATAGCCGTTCAGCGCCTGGGCTTTGATGTTATTCGTGTCAGTCCTGATCTTTATGGCGATATCATCGCCGGTGGGGTTATTATTGTTGTTGTTGCCGGTGGTGGCCATCAGATCCGTGTCGCTGATGGGCGCGATCTGTACGGCTGATGAGGCGCCGCAACCCATGATTATTGGCCGCTAATTGTCTACAGTTTTAATTGTTTGCGTAAAATTGTTTTGCCATTCATTGTCTCGCATTTAAATCACATTTTCCTTTCTATCCTAAAGTATTGATAAGAAAAATGAAATGTTTTGAAAGTTTGAATTTTTTGTAAACTATTTTCTTATACATTGATAGAGTGTTTGATATGAAATACAAGTTTTCTTTAAATCTCTTACT